ATGTTTTTTGCTGCTCTGAAATTGCATTGGACGCCTTAAGACTATCGCTCTTATTTTCTTTTGAGCATTCATGTAATGGACCACTGGAAGGGTCTGCCTAAATACCACAACCGACCACAGCCGACCGCTTCCTGGGTTAATATGCAGCGTACCTTTAGTAAAAAAACGGGATGGCATGCTTTTTAACAAATATCCCATGTCAAAGTGACTAGCATGTTTTTAGACTAAAAGAAAATATGGTGCTAAAACATTGGGATAAATAACCACAGCTCCCTTTTTAACGCTCTGGATACATTGTCTATGCTTGAATGAATAAAAAAAACTGTCAAAAAGTCAAATCAAACATCAGCAGTTAATAGAGTTACCATGAGTTACCAGTTCATAGAGAGAAACCATGTGTATGGATGGGTTAGAGCATATATCTAGTGGAGCTTGATATACTATGATATCCGAGAGAGCACTCTGGAAACATTTATGACGACTCTTCTATTGAAATGAGCATACAAATAAATCAGCCATGTAACTTAAGCTTAGCATCCTACAACTTCTTAGGAAAGTTTAACAGCTTTGTTTGATAATTCGCAAGAGGTGCTAATAAACTGAAGATTAACGTAGATCAGGAAGTCAATTGTAGGATTGATGGATAAATTCAATAATTATTCTGCGTTCAATAATGGACCCCCCCCCCCCCGGTCTAGGTAGGGTTAAAGGTGATTAAACTACCATCGGGCATTGAATATAATATAGTATACTGCTACCCAATGTTTAAAACAGACTGTTACTGTCTAGGTGGATGGTTGGAGACTGATCCTACATGGGTGACTTCAGATGTCTGGCTTGCCTCAGAAAGTGCCCGATATATTTCTGGCTATGTTCTTGACTCCAACCTAAACACAGGCTGGAAGCGTGCGGCTGAGGAGGGCTCGTGGCAGCTGACTTTTGATCTCCAGACGCCAATAACACTCTCACGGGTCCGTGTCTTTATAGATCCCGACCATAAACCACATGTGACACTCTTTCGTTCAACAACAGCAGGAAAACGGTGGCATATTGTAAATGTCGTCCAACGCTTAGGTGACATTAAAAAGTATGTTGAACTGAGTGGATTCCTTTCCACTGGACAGCATTGGCGCCTGGAATTTACCTCTTTTACTCCGTTAACCCAAGTCTACGAGGTCATGTTTTTTCAGTGTAAGTAATCATTCATTTTACAACTGCCATTCATGTTTCTTTACATTCTAGTAGTTCTGATGGCACCACAAACTAAGTGCACTTCGTGTGGGCTGATTTATTGCCAACGATAAATGTCAGTAATGTGATATTCTCAAATGTCAGTAATGTGATATAAACATGTTGAAAAATGGAAGTAAATCATGATTACATGGTTTTGCGGTTAGATATATTTCAATTTTGGAGCAAAAGTGTTACATTATGCCTTTTTATTTAGCTTGTTCTGGATTTAACGGAACGGTATGCTCAGACGGTAACTGCGATGTGTACACAATGGTCTGTGACGGGATCGTGGACTGTGGTGACGGGAGCGATGAAAACAACTGTGGTACGAAATTGAGTGTTTTTCTCATATATGATATAGATTTTTTTTTAAGTTTCTCGTCGCTGACTTCAATCAGAGGACATTTGCAAACTCCTCAGACCTGATTGCCTGCCTCAGCTTTTACAGTCACCGCCGAGCTTTGTCAATGTGGGGCCTGTCCAAATCACTGTCAATGGTGTCTGGCGATCGTGTAGCTGTAACTAGTCAAGTTGAAAGTAGAGAAAACAGCGAAGCCATGTGTAACCTCGCCCACCGAGCCCCTGGCCGATTGAGGGCCGTAGAAAAGGCCACATGTGGCCGTCACTTAGGCTGTGGGCGCCGGGCGTAAGCGGAAATAGCACGAGCCAAAAGACGGAAATGCCGGACTCCAGCGGCGCACAGAGTTGTTTTTCAAATTAACCTAAAAATGACTTGAGTGACATTTTTTTCTTCATTATCTACAGATAAAAAGGTATGCCGAAATGGAAACATCATCAACAAGACGCAAGTATGTGACGAGAAAGATGACTGTGGAGACTATTCGGACGAGGAAAACTGTTATCAGTTTGTTCGAGATAATATGGTTGGTAAGTAATTTTAAAGACATGTTTTTCTCGTTATTACTTAACTTTGGGAGCTCATTTGTACACTAGCAGATAGACTTGTATTAAAGTAGTAATAATTATTTTATTCGCAAGAAACCCCTAGGCATGTATTTCTATTATATCTTGTTTTGATTATAGAAATTACTATCTGAATACTCTCATTCTCTATCTCTCACTCTCTCTCTTTGTTTCTGTCTCTCTATATAAATATATATATATAATAAATA